GTTTTTCAAAGGTAGGTCTGTCACCCATTCCATGGTGGTGATGCCCTTTATGAAGGGATGGCCATTTGATGGCACTTTTGATGAAACTAGTTGGCAGGAAGACATGGTACTCTCTCTTGTTCTTGAAGGGACAAGCATGGAGGTGAGATTGGCCAACTCTCACACAAGCATCCATTTGCTGGGTCTCAAGAATAGAAACCTGAAAAGCACATGGTCCCCTAAGTAGCAAACAGCCATAATTCAGATCATGCTTACTTTAAGTTCCACCAATGAACAGTGAGGTGTTACACACAGGTTTCTCAGAATGTCTTGTTCTGTCTCATTTGCACTAGCCTGAGATTTGCTATTGAAGAGGGCTCTGAAACAAGATAGGACAAAAGTACTTGGTATCTAAGTACAATTCCAGCTCCCGTTTCCTCCACACTCCAGCAGACTTGTCACAGCTTTACATAACACACGTGCATAGTGCGAACTGTGAATAGAGCTGTTCCTTCTGTCATGTACTAATGACAACAACAAGAGCTGGGGACTGAGAGTGTGGAGTCTGTTTCTGCCATAAATGAACATCTTAGATCTTCACATTTCTTCATAACACCACCTACCTTTTGTAAAGATCTTGGTTCTTCCCAGCACTTCACGTCTGTTGTCTTTTTGTAATGATTGCAACAGCCCTATACGGTAGGTCTATATTATTTTGCTCATATTGCACATCAAAAGCTGGGCAGGGGGAGGCCTGCACAAAGAATTAATGGCAGAGGCAAGATTTGAACTCAAGACCTCCCACTTTGTAGCTCAGTTTTCTTAACCTCAGTGCTTTACATTCTCTGGAACACTACTGCAGCAACACATCCTCTTGTGAGTTCAGGAAAATGATGGCAAATGCCATCTTTGGTTACTTTATGGGGCTTCTTATTGGTGCATGTGCATCTCTGAAGATGCTATGATAAATTGCTAAGAGACAATTAACTACTTCCTCTAACTTATTTGGAAATGCAGATCACAATGATTATCAGGCATCCCAAATTAATCACTGGAAGTCAGCAGTCTGCTGCTGGATTCAGCTGAAGGGCTGGATCCTTATCGCCAAGCTGGACAGGTGAGTGGAGCTGCCCATCTGCCAGTCATCTGACACCACAGTGCTGTGGTTTGAAATCAAAGCTCCATGCATAGCGCTTCCACTTGCAAAACCCAGTGCACAGCACTTTGCAAGCTGTTATGATCAGCTGATAATTGGTGCTTGCAAAGCCCAGCCCACAGGGTTTGCAAACGCTGCTGATCAGCTGACTGGCTGCGCCTTTTGGACCAACACCATCTTTACCTGCCTTATCCCTGACATCATATGTGACATCAGGTGTAGGGCAGGTGGGCATGGCTTGGTTGGAAGAGTTACATGGGTTGAATTAGTATTCATATTAAGAAATTTTCCCCAGATGAGTCCCACAAGTTGTATATTAGAGAAGGTGTGGATTGCAGAGGAGCAGGCCTGTAATTTACTCACCAAGTTTTGCAGTGCTGACACATTGGAAAATGACTTGTCAATACTCCAGCTTAGCTTGGCTCAGCCCTGGTCAAAGCTGGAGCAGAGACTGTGCCATCTTGACGTGCCGCTGCCTGTTCTTAAAAACGCTGCCAAGTCAAAAGTAAGCCTCTTGCTCACATTGCAGGAGGCTCTCTCGTGCCAGTGAGGTTGTTCTCGGGGCCTTGTCAGCACATTTCTTCCCTCCGCCCATTGGGTTGTCTGCCATTGTCCTTGGCGCCTTCCCCCACCTCTTCTATCTTGCATATTTTTTTCTTCATCTCATCGCAAGTTGTGCATGCAACTTGCAGAGGAATCTCACAGAGCAGTGCACAACTGTGTGGGACAGCCCAAACAAAACAGAGTAGAACCCAGGAAAATAGGCTCTCCTGGGTATGTGACCCTACTGTTGTGACCAGAGAAAAGAAGGAAGGCAGTGAAGAATGCAAAAGGGAGATAATTCTCAATAGCCATGATGACAGAATACGGGGAAATCCCACTGTCCACCTCCCTAAGTTGGTATGACTCCATCCTTTTCCTTCCTCCTTCAAGGAGGTGCCACTTGAACTATGGCAATGCTGGTTCCCTTGATGCTTAGCATTTATATAGCACTTGTCCACAGTGTGATGATATATGGGTGTGTTGGGGAACCTCAGGCTTAGCATTTATATAGCGCTTGTCCACAGTGTGATGGTATATGGGTGTGTTGGGGAACCTCAGGCTTAGCATTTATATAGCGCTTGTCCACAGTGTGATGGTATATGGGTGTGTTGGGGAACCTTAGGCTTAGCATTTATATAGCGCTCGTCCACAGTGTGATAGTATATGGAAGTGTTGGGGAACCTCAGGCCTGGTGGCCAAATGTGGACACCCTCTCCCAAGTCTCTCTGTCCAAGCCTCAGGACTCTTCCCAGGCTTCCCTTCCATTAGACAAATACCACTGAAAGCTCAGAAGATGACCACCTTGCTTTTGTTTATCCCAAACATCAGGTACACAGAAATATGCTGCCTTTGTATATGAAGGAGCCATAGCTGATAACTCTGTGGCCAGGCATGTGGTTTACATGCCAAAAGTCTCATGTTCAACCCCTGGCCTCTATTGGTAAGTCTGGGAGAAACCCCAGTCTGAAATCCTGCAGAGCCACTCCCACTCAGTGCAAGGAAGCTACTTACGTTCCTAAAGTTAAAGGGACCCCTGACCATTAGGTCCAGTCGTGGCCGACTCTGGGGTTGCAGTGCTCAACTCGCTTTACTGGCCGAAGGAGCCGGCGTACAGCTTCCAGGTCATGTGACCAGCATGACTAAGCCGCTTCTGGCAAACCAGAGCAGCGCATGGAAACGCCGTTTACCTTCCCACCGGAGCGGTACCTATTTATCTACTTGCACTTTGACATGCTTTCGAACTGCTAGGTTGGCAGGAGCAGGGACCGAGCAACGGGAGCTCACCCTGTCCTGGGGATTTGAACCTCTGACCTTCCGATCGGCAGGCCCTAGGCTCAGTGGTTTAACCCACACTCACTCTCAAAAAGCCCCATGGCAGAAATCACCTTCTGATGTTATCCCTTGAGCTTCAAAAGAAGCCAATGAGGCTGACTACCAAGAGCCTGAGGTTGGTACATTGGCTTCTCTAAAAGTAAAAAATACTGCTCTGAGAAGAAGAGGGAGGAGGAGGAGGCAGAGACCATATGTTTTACTATCAGGCATATAGTAAGAGTGCCGCCCATACTTACAGGAAAGCCCAGCTGAGAACGTCATGGGGTTTTCAGGGAACCTGGTGCAGAGCTCAGATCAGCAGAGGAGGTTTGTAGATTAAGTAAAAGGATGCTAACAAACACCCCTTGGCCACCTTGAAAGTAAAGCTAGTACACAAAAAAAATCTCAGCATCTCCACTGATGAGAATCTCACCAAAATTTTCTCTCCCCCTTCATAATCTTTCAAATGCAATTTCTTCTCTCATTCATTGAGATTGTTTGGGGGTGAGAATGCAACAGAACTGTTTGGTTAATCAGACAAATTTGTCTGATTTTTAAAAAATAGTCACCTAAGGTGCTGGGCATTTTGAGGAATTCCAGAGGTCAGTTCTGCCCCACATAGTAGTAAGCCGTTGGTACCCTGGAGTTGACGAGAATAGATCAGGAATTGTTATTCTCGGCGTTGCCCCAGTAACCAGGCTAGCAATAGGATCTGAGAGAGAAGCAGAAAACAGCAAGAGGCTCAGGTGACTGCAATGCAAAAGCAGGAATACCCCCACTTCTGAAAGGATTCGGGGAGGGGAAAGGCAGTGTGGGCGGAGAAAGCAATTCAGACGTATCTGTGTTGCTAGGATGGTGCTAAGGGAAAGTTCCCTGGGATCTTAGCAGGTACGTGGGCGTAGGGTACGTTTGTGTCAGGTGCTGTGTGTTCCCTTGAGGCTTTTGGAATTATATTCACATCACTGGTCACTAGCACTTGTTGAGGGAGACAGGGAAGTATCTGTGCTTTCTGCAAGTGCATTGCAGTCCAGAAAAAAGCAGGAGAGAATCCCCCAAACTGCAGTTTTGGAGAGCCTGTACAGAGCAAGATCCAGTAGCGATGGAGGAAGCAACAAGGCATCCAACTGCAACATTGCTAGGGAAGACGTGCCATACCATCGGCACAGGAACTTCTGCCTACCTGGCCAGCGTCACAGATGCGCCTTTCCCCCCCTCCATATCCTTCCAAATCCCTTGCCAGCTGCCGGGAGAGCTCTTTATAAATAGCTCAGCTCGCTGGCAACGAATATGAAAGGAGAGTTTGCATCACACAGGGCTGTTCTCAGGATTCCGCTCCTGTGCAAAGAACAGCCCTCTCCCCAACGTGTCTGCAGACATTTAATGGTGTTTGCGGTTTTAAAGTATTTGCAGGCATTTGACGGGAAGGGGAGTAGCTCAGCAGTGGAGCGTCTGCTGTGCATGCAGAAGATCTCGGGTTCAGTTGCCTGCATCTCCAGGCAAGATGGGGAGTTTCCTCTGTCTGAAACACTGGAGAGCCATTGCAAGTAAATGACCCCGATGGATCAAAAGGTCTGACTCGTATAAGGCAGCTTCCTCTGTCCCTAATGGTAGAGCAAGAGTCATTGCTGGAGTTATGCGTCAGTTTCTTCTCCCTGCCTGCACGCCCAGTACGTTGGCCATGCTTATAACAGAGTTACCTGGTATCAACAAATTAGACTGAGCAATGGAGTGCCATTGTTTACCACCAGCAATTTAACACCCTTGTTTGCCAGTCAGTGTGGGCAGTACTGAGCTGGATGGACCATTGGTTTGAATCAGTATTAAGATATCTTCCTACGATCCAAAGAAGAATCTCTACCCTTCATGATTTCAAACATATGTGTTAAAATAGCTTTCCCATGAAGGTGGACTCAGGACCAGGTTCAGGGCCAGGTGACTCAACTGAGCACTCAATAAATGTAGAATCAAAGAACTGCGGAGTTGGAAGGGACCCTGTAATGCAGGGAAACTTTGCCCAATGTGGGGCTTGAACCCAGGACCCTGAGGTTCAGAGGCTCATGCTCTGCTAACTGAGCTATCCAACGGTCAACATGCGCTGAGACGCAGTGTGGTGTAGAGTGTCAGTATAGTTGGAATTATTATTGTTATTGTTATTCATTAAATTTCTTAGTTGTTTAAAACGAAGATAATGGCCACTGGTCCCATCACCTCCTGGCAAATAGAAGGGGAAGAAATGGAGGCAGTGAGAGATTTTACTTTCTGGGGCTCCATGATCACTGCAGATGGTGACAGCAGCCACGAAATTAAAAGACGCCTGCTCCTTGGGAGAAAAGCAATGACAAACCTAGACAGCATCTTAAAAAGCAGAGACATCACCTTGCCAACAAAGGTCCGTATAGTAGTAAAAGCTATGGTTTTCCCAGTAGTGATGTGAGAGCTGGACCATAAAGAAGGCTGATCACCGAAGAATTGATGCTTTTGAATTATGGTGCTGGAGGAGACGCTTGAGAGTCCCATGGACTGCAAGAAGATCAAACCTACCCATTCTGAAGGAAATCAGCCCTGAGTGCTCACTGGAAGGACAGATCCTGAAGCTGAGGCTTCAAGACTTTGGCCACCTCATGAGAAGAGAAGACTCCCTGGAAAAGACCCTGATGTTGGGAAAGATGGAGGGCACAAGGAGAAGGGGATGACAGAGGATGAGATGGTTGGATAGTGTTGTCAAAGCTACCAGCATTAGTTTGACCAAATTGCGGGAAGCAGTGGAAGACAGGAGTGCCTGGCGTGCTCTGGTCCATGGGGTCACGAAGAGTCGGACACGACTAAACGACTAAACAACAACAAAGCGACAATGTAAAATACAAGTTAGACCAAAAAACCCACGTTAAAGGGCCAAAGATTGCTAAAGGCCAAAGGCCTGATTGTAGAGCAATGACACCTAAAATATGTAAGGAAGGTGCCAGGTGAGCCTTCCTGGGGAGAGCATTCTACAAACAGGGAGCCACCAAAGAGAAGGCCCCGTTCTAATGTTGTCACTGCCCAAGCCTCTCATGGAATGTCAGCCTAGGCCCAGGGATCACCCACCTGGCTGGTTTGTATTTTGTATAAGTAAATCATTTTTAAAGTCTTGGACGCAAGGACTCTAGTTTAAATCCTCTCTCACCCCGAAAATTCCCGAGTGACCTTGGGCTAATCATGATTTCTCAGCATCACCAACCATACGGGGTTGTTCTAAATATAGCAATGAAATATAAATGTAATAAATAAACAAACAAACAAACAAACAAACAAACGGTCCACTCAGCAGCTGAAAGGATTAGCACAAACTGTTCATCTGCTTATAAAGCTGGCCTACATTGCATTAATGCTTGCTTGTTTTTAATTCAAGGGGGGAAATTACAACATCACGGCCCATTTTGCACACACAAGGTGCATCTGAACTATTGTGATCGGATCCATGCGTGCAAATCTGTCATCTTATAAGATAGGAATCAATCATGCATGCACATTATGTATCAAAGGCATGAATGGTGGAGAAATGCAATAAAATTCATGCATCTTGTTGCATTTGCAGCCTGTTTCACGCCTTTGGTGCATGATTTGCATGGGTGCCATTTAAAAGTAGAATTAATAAAGGGTCTCTGGGCAAAAACAACCCTTGCTTTGGGGTGCTGTTTGTGCCAGAGGCACAATACCTGAGTAGGAATTGGGGAGAAAAACAGTTTTCCATTGGTGACTGTCCCCCTGATAACAACAAAAATTCATTGGGAATTTGCATCCAGTTGAATAAGCCATGTTATGGCATGGTGTCCAAGGAGACTGATAATCCCTGGAGGGAGAATGAATGAAAGGATGGTTGGATGAAAGAGGGTTTGCAGGAGCTACATCCTGGATTGGCCAAGGCTCTTGTAAACAGCAAGGGAAATAGAGAAGCAGATGGTGTTGTCTACTTTTCTCTCCTATCACTCTCTCCTGCTTAAGAGTGGATGCAAGCGACAACGTCATGCATTTTGCTCTTTCATTTACTAATGGATACGGTGGTCCTCCCTCTTTAATGGCTCCTAGCACAATTATATATATATTTGCTCTGGTTTCATTGACAGGCTTTTCCTTCGCAACAACAATCCCCTCTCTGCCTTGTAATGCCTTAATCCCCTCGATTTTGTATCAAGTTGCTTAGGTTGTTTTCACTCTAGTGCCAGAAACGCAAGGGTCTTGTCGCTTCCAGGCAGCTTGTGCTATCGGTGTTCCTACGTTGTAGTGTGAAATTGGCTTGCCTGCTGATTTTGATTCTGGGTCCGGGATGTTGCAGAGGCGGAATTGCTGAGTGAAGCCAAGCCACAGGTCTGCTTCCAGGGGATGCCCTCCAGGAGAGGAGACACTAAAATTGGGCACCCAGTGGAGTTTAAAGTGTATTTGGTGTGTCCCTTTTGTGCATGGTTTTGTGATGTCCGCATGATGTTGTCATTATCCATGTAGCAGCCAACACTTTCCCCGTATTTAATTCAGATTTCCCTGATCCACTGATAATGCAGTAAGGAAAACAACAGCAAAGCATCCTAACATTGCATGTTACCCAACTATGAATGAGCTGAAGTGCATTGTGTAAATATTTACTTTCTTTTAACATGTGACATTTTGCTGGGTGCCATCTATGACCATACCCTATACAGTGGTACCTCGGGTTAAGTACTTAATTCGTTACGGAGGTCCGTTCTTAACCTGAAACTGTTCTTAACCTGAAGCACCACTTTAGCTAATGGGGCCTTCTGCTGCTGCCGTGCCGCCGGAGTACGAATTCTGTTCTCATCCTGAAGCAAAGTTCTTAACCTGAGGTACTATTTCTGGGTTAGCGACGTATGTAACCTGAAGTGTATGTAACCCGAGGTACCACTGTACTTCCATTGACAAGGCACTCCTCAGTGGGCTGTTGTTGGGGCTGGAAGCGAAATATGCATGGTGCTGGGTTTTTAAAAAAACCACTGCTTTGTGCAAGTCTAGCATATTAGACACCGGTGGCATGGTGGTCTAAACCACTGAGCCTCTTGGGCTTGCTGATCAGAAGGTTGGCAGTTTGAATCCCTGCAAAGGGGTGAGTTCCCGTTGCTCGGTCCCAGCTCCTGCCAACCTAGCAGTTCGAAAGCACGTCAAAGTGCAAGTAGATAAATAGATACTGCTCTGGTGGGAAGGTAAATGGCATTTTCGTGCGCTGGTCTGGTTTCGGTGTTCTGTTGCGCCAGAAGCGGCTTAGTCATGCTGGACACATGACCCGGAGAAACTGTTTGCAGACAAACACCGGCTCCCTCGGCCTGTAAAGCGAGATGAGCACCGCAACCCCAGAGTCGTCTGCGACTGGACTTCACTGTCTGGGGTCCTTTACCTTTAGCATATTGGAAAACTTGCCTATCAAAAATAAATAAGTGATGAATAAGTGCACAGGTAAACAAAGAGCTGCCCACAATGGGCTTCAGGTTTCTGGAACTTAGGACTTGCGAGCAAGTACTAACCAAGGAAAGAGGACAATAACACACTGCATATACATCCCATCAAACACATAGGAAATGTTGAGTCAGAGTTCAGTTGAAAACACTGCTCTGTGGATGCACATGGGGAAATTGGATCTGTGTGACTCACATTAACACACTTGTGTATATACAGCCTAAGTCAGAATTGGCCAGTGTTGTTATAGCAGACACTTCCGTGGACTTTAAACCCAGGGTTCAAAGCTGAGTTCAGCCTCTTACTAAGCTTTCTTTAACCACTCCCATCTTTTCTTCAGAAATTAGGCATTAATTCACCTGGCCCTTCACAACTTGGGTCTAGGATTCCTTATGGACCGCCCGAAATCCCTGCTCAGTCGTTGAGGTTTTTGGGTGGTCCCCATGCCTCAGGTGCACAGCTCATCCTGCAAAAAGGCAAGGGGTTATTTTTGGATTCAAGTAGGCAATAAAAGAAACACCAATTGCGCTTTAACAGGCTTATTTCCTAGATAAAAATACAAGGCACAAAGCAGAGATTTCATTGTTTTTGGAGTTGCTGTGGAATTTCCTTCTGAGCAACAGCATGTCCTCTCAACTTTCCAAGTCTATCAATGTAGGGGTTGGAATCTCCAGCTAAGCTGGGTCATTATTGGGCTGTACACTATGTTTAGTATCTTAAGATGAAGGGACACCCCCCCACACACACACATTCTGATTTCACTCTTACGACTGTAGATTGCAAAAGCCAGCATGTGGCTTCAAAGGACTGGCTAACCTCACGCATCCAAGATGCCTGGGCTCCACGTGGCACTTTCTATACTTGAAGGAATCTTCTGTTTGGAGGACTGTCTGGTCAACATCTGGCTTAAAAGGTTCCAATGAAATAATCACAAAAGTGGAATAGCCTCTGCTCCTACAATGGACTTATCCATCTCCTCCCCATGTGTACCCCCCCCCCCACCAACACCCTGAATCTGTCTTTTGAAGCAGATTTAGGAAGTTGTGGGGTGCACACGGGAGGGGGGGGAGAGAAAGATATTTTCATTGCAGTGACTTTATTGGATTCAAGCCAAAGAGGAAAAAGAAAGGGAAAACAGGCCTTGAGGTTTCCCATTGACATTAGGCAACTGGCAATATGACAAGATGCATTGCATTTCCACATAAAATTATTGTAATGATTTCTTCATTTGCATCAGTACATATGAATTAGCATGTGCAGCTTTTATGCAAACCAGAGTCCTCTTTTTGGTGATGGTGATGCTAGTTCTTGTTGTCACTGAGCATCTGTGGCGTGGGGAATGTAAGATCCCCTACAGAAGATCCCCGTACAGAAGATCCCCGTACAGAAGATCCCCTATAGAAAGCTTGCTTTGGTAACAACTGCTTTGTTTCATGTCCAGGATGCAGGTGGATCCTTTTCTAGGAACCACCTCCTGCTTAGATTCAGAAATCAGGGCTGATTCTGAAAAGTGCCGAGGTTTTCAGAAGCTCCCCAGGGAGAGTGTTTTGGAAGACATGATCAATCTCTCTCTCCTGTGGCTATAAAGCACAGAGCTCTGATCTGAGCAACAAACAGAAGCAAAGAAGCAGAAGAGGAGGAAGTCTCA